ATTTTATATAAATTGTTCATTATATATAAGAAAAGGAGTGGTGACAACGTCCTCAAAAAAAATTAGCATAGGTATTTGCCAATAAAATAATCGCATAATTCATATTTTCTTTAATCCGGCTCTGTAAAAAGGTATCAACTAAAAGTTCCTCAATTTAGTCGTAAAAATTGGTTTTCATGTTTTTTGGTTGAATTCAAATTTGTTTGAAGCTACGGTAAAAATACTACAGATGCAGCTCCCCTTCCATTATTTTCGGTTATAACGTGATCGTGTAAATTCTATAGGTTTATTCTTGTCCAGTGTAGTGTAAACATACATTTTGAATACATAGATGAAGATAAAAAATAAATATTATCTAATTATTATTAGATATGGATTAATAATCGGACATTTTTTGCCCAAATAAAACAAAAAGCTAAATTTGTTTTCATTGTCTATCACACGACTTAGTGCCAAATGTGTAACAGATATGGAATAAACGTTTACATTTCGTTAAAAAGTTTTGTATTAAATGTAACGTAATAAGAATAGTTAACATATCGTAATATTCTAAATATTCCCAGTAGTACTTCTAATAAATATGTTAATTTGATTTAAATAAAAGTCGTATTTAAACCGTCATGTTTTAATCCACTGGTAATTTTCAACAGAAATTATGCGATGCATAGAAATATAATTTTTCTTTCCCTTCCGTTTTTTTTTTCTCTCTCCCGTACATTAATTTTAATTGGATCCTTTTCACAGAGGTTCTACCCGAGACCAATTTCGTCGCGATTTCGCCGCCTAACCTGCGAACGGCCGAATCTGAGTGTACGGCGTTTTCTATCCGGGAGAATACGTATTCTAAACGTATATGGATTACTCAAGAATTAATTGAAGGTACGGGTCGTGGCCCAGCGATCATTACCGAACCGAGCAGATTATTCGACCGACGAGGGACGTAAAACTCTCCGGTCGTGGACGGATCGAAAACCTAAATAGTCATTTATATATATTGTAATATAATTATAACTATCGTAATTCGTTATTTCGACATTCCGTCCAGCATATTATGTATTATAAGCAGGTATATGGGGAATTTGTGCAATTTAATTTGTACAAAATACGAAAATATGGTCTATCTCTCACTATCTCTCTCTCTCTCTCTCTCTCTCTCTCTTTTTCGCTCTATGCGTGTATAATATATGTACACACACTTTGGTATTTCCCGGGGAAAACGGTCGGAGAAAAAGTATCGTTGTGATCAGGATTACGCGGCGTTCGGCTCATTTAAATAATATTCAAATACGTTTTCTTCAAACCGAATGGCATTATCCGTTCTGGGACGTCCGCGGGTACGCTAACTTCCGACGTACTTACAATACAGGTAGGTAATATAATACTATATGTAATAAAGGTACTCTTTTTCAACAATATTGCACACAATATAGTAACTGATGCAAAAGACACATTATGTTTTGATCGTTTGGACCGTCGTTTTTATTTATTTATTTTATTTTTGTAGAATTATAAATTTATTTTTTAATCATTTGTTTTTATTTTTTGACTATGGATGGAGACAGGAAGGCACTTTATTATATATGTACAATATGTTCATTTGCTATCTATGAACAAATTTTCGCCCAGAAATCATTATGCCCCGTTCATCGAAATCAATACAGGTGATTTCAAGAACGTAGCAAATTTTGTCCAGTAGGTGCACCGAAGAATTGAAATACAATCTTTTAAAATAGCATAATACGAGTACTATAAACGTTTATACAGTCCGGTTTCTGATAATTTCGTTTTTGTTTGTTTGTTGTGTTCTTGGTGAAAAATAATGCCAGATACAGTATATAAACTAAATTATCCTGTATAATTTTCTACTCTGTTTCAAAAATTATCCACCTACAATCGTGGCCTACTCACGGTACGTAATATGTCTAGTTAATTTTCAATGTGTTTATCGTCAAATACTAACAATGGAAAATCAAGATCCGATACGATATAATCAGTAGTATGTATATGAATTAATGAAAATATTATATTAAAACACCGATGTACATTTTACTATATGGCGAAACCAGAATAGGTATCAAACATTAAACTTTTATAGAAGTTAAACACAACTTAATTCCGTAACGAAGTGCACATAAAATCTAATTATTTTTTATTTGCTTAATGTATAACCCACGTAAACGTATAATCGTTTAAATGATAAAATGACAATCACGGGTTATACACACATTATTACAGGACGTTTAAATATGTAGAAATATTTCAAGTAATATAAGGTATAGTGATTTTTAAACTAAGATCCGAGTCTGTGGAGGTTATTGAAGTTGTTTGCAATAACGTACGCTTTTTATTCTTGCTCTTCCATCTTCGGGTGAAACTTTTTACGGCAGTAAAATTTTTCGTAAAATTTCACGCGGTATATCAATCGGTAGAAAATTAAATTTAGATATTATAATATTTTAGACAGGCCATTTTTTGATATTATGCGTTCAACAGTTTTCTTTACTGTAAAAACTACACGTAGGTATCGAAAAAAGAAAAAAAAAACGAAACAAATTTATAGACATCAAAAAAAAAAAACTGTATTTTAACACGTTTAGTTTAGAGACTGGAAATATAATGATTTTATAGATTCTAGTTCCGGTTGGGTTTTGAAAACAATTTTAATTGGCCTTTGGTGAAGTTAATTATAGTTCCCGCTTACAATATATTCCGTAGTTCTGTGTTGTATCTCCTACGCCATTCACCGGTGTGGACATCTAATATGGGTTCACATATTTGTCCCCAGATTTTCTTTTCAAAAGTCCTCAGTTTCCTTTCTGTTGTGCTAGTCTTAGTCCAGGCTCACATCCACGTGTGAAAATTGAACTTATAATGGTTTCATGTATTCTAAATTCTATTCCATTTGACAATATCTTAAAATTGAGGAATTTCGTTAGAGCTTAAAAGATTTTTACAGCTTTGTTCAGGGGAATGTTAATTATTATTTATAATAAACACTATTTGGATTAAATTATTTATTTTGCATTATTATCTTTCTGATTTGAAGGAACCGATAAGAACGTAAGCGAACCAAAAATGTTTAATTTAATTGAAAAATGTTCGGTTGTTCGAATTGATAATTATGGGTTCCATTAAAGGTTTGGGTTTTAAAATTTTATTCAACAACCAGATCAATCGATATTGGTTTTAGTCCTTGTTTCGTATTAAAATCGTGTTTTTTTCGCGCAAATTGATTTTACTCACAATATTCTCAAAAAAATGAATAAATAAAAAATAAAAACAATAATAATAATAATAATAACCAAAAACATAATATCTGTATCCGAGTATTTTTTTATCACGTATAAAATATTTTAGATAATTTATGAAAATTTAATAGTAGTTGATTAGTCAGATATTCACGTATCACGTAATGATACGTGAAAATATAATACAAGTTTATTTGTTTAGGATACCTATGCTTTTATGCTTTTGTTTACATCGCGTATCGAAAAACTTTATAAATTTTCGGTTTTCAACTCACTACCTATATACTTCTCATATTTTATCATATTACAAATTCTCGTGTTTTCTGTAAAACTTTAAATGAATCCGTACCCAAATACAATATTAAACAAATAATTCATTAGCTGTAATGGTTTATTGGCAAAAAGTTGGAATAGTAGAGCATACGTACTTACCTATTTCATTTCCACGCAACTCACCGGTCTTAAAAACTTTAAATCGTTAGAACTAACGAACTGTTTATTCAATATTTACATCAATATAATATATACGGAATATATATGAAAAAAAAAAACTCGTACTTGCTATAAATTTAAATATAAAATAAGAAGAGAGGTCGTAGTTTGAAAATCAAATTTGACCATTTTTATTTAATAAAACTATTTTGTGTTATTTATTTTGTTTTGTTTTGTTTTTATTTTTATTGAATAGGAAAAAAAACCATATACATAAATGATTTCTATTTGAAAAATTATTGCTTAAAAAAATATATATTCCATATAGTACAGGTATACAAAAAGACGTACTGGAATAATAGAGACGGGTGCAGCCACTGTTATAGATGATTTAAACATCGGAAGTCTAAAGAAATATCAGTTAATCGACGATGATGATTATACACTAACAATATTTTTATGTCAGTTAAGCACCGCGGAGAATAAACGGAACGTGGAATTTCACGAATTTACTTGAGAATTATTAATTCCTAAAATACTGATAGTGTCTATTATAGACTTTTGGATTAGGATTGCTCGCTCCTACGGAAGGGCCAATTATCAATAACGGTATTGATAATTGGTAGTTAAAATAAAAATATTATAATAACAACCTTGAACAGCAGAGCTAGCCGAATTTCCCCCCACTCACACTAATTTTCCATTTACAGAGAATAACGGAATACATATTACATGATATTATAACGTCCTTACGTCAGGTGACCGTAAGGGCAAATATTTGATCCCAGAGAAGACAATCAATTTTAAATTTTTTTTTTTTACAATCTCGTCTTACGTATTTTTTTTTCCTTTATGTTCTAATCTAAATTGCTAAGCGTATGATTATTTCAGAACAATTTAGCTGTAAATTAAAATATCCTAAATCTGCGATGTACTTTTTGTTTGGCTAAAACGAAATATTTGAAGAGCTAAGCGCGAAAGTAGCAAATTCTATTATATATACCACATTTATGTAAATAGACCAGACCGTGGCCTGTTGTTTTGCTCAAAAACATGCCTTGCAGGAATAACTCTCATACCTTGTAAAATGATCAGATTTCAGTTGCCTAACGTTTCTATAATTATACAATTATTAACTAAAAATCGGTAGTAATTTTATTTGTATTTATTTTTTATACATGTGATATATGTATAATATAAAATGTGAAAATTTGGATAAATCAATATATTTTCCAGTGTCGTAAAAATGTGTTGTAAATTTGTATTGTTTACATAGTAACACAGCAACAATATTAAAACCTATAAAAACAACACATAGACTTATTCGGTTTCCCAGGGACGTTTAACTTCTATGATAAAAATTACACAACCAATTTGATTGTTTTTTTTATCGAACATTTCAAATCGAGCTTTGTAAACTCCGTAAAAATATTGTTTTGGTAAAATCGCATTTGCCATGAAACTTGTAAAATCAAAACCATTTGATACATATACACCCTAAACGTAAATATATTTGTTGAATAATATATATTAAAGTATAACATTACGCGAATTATATTTACTGCAGGATATGGACAATTCCGATTAAAATTATTATTTTTTGTTGTTAGATTGAATGTGGTTCTCAAGTTACCAAATACTTTCTCAAACGATGAACATGCTTTGGAAATTTTTAAAATTAAAGCATTGTCTTTCCAACCACCGATGGAATCTTTGACAGCATTGATTATAACTATCTATAAACAAATTTACACATATATATATATTTCATTTTAAACGTATAATTTAATATTATTTAAGCCAATAAATAACAATTCGTAATATTACGTCTAANATTGAATGTGGTTCTCAAGTTACCAAATACTTTCTCAAACGATGAACATGCTTTGGAAATTTTGTAAATTAAATTATTGTCTCTCCAACCACCGATGGAATCTTTGATAGCATTGGACATAACTATCTATAAACAAAGTTAGTCGCCTAGTGAATTCAAATTAAAAATTAATAACATTTTGCGATTATAATTGTAATACCTAGTTACGTATATATGGAGTACTAATATTTTTAGTAATTTACCAAATTGAAAATTATTAAAAAAGTTTTCTGACCCCTAGATTAAAATTAACTGAATTAATATTTAATACATCTTGTTAAATCAATGTTTAAACTTAACATCAGGTTAATCGTCCAACGGTTTCTTATAGTAATTATAATATATTATCACGTTTATTTTTTTATGGGTACGATTTCAATAATTTGCTGTTTTGTTTAATAAAATTCAAAATAATATTAAATTATTCCTATTAATATTATTCATCTTTTCGTATATTTGATTTTGACCAAGTGGTTTGAGTAAGTTCGTTTGTCGGGTTTATTCATTTGATAAAGAAGTTAGTCGGTTATTTATTTTCTTCATTTTTTCTATATCTTCTTAAATTCAACGAAAAGATTAAATAATTTTTTTTAAATTCTACACCTTTCCGTGGATATTTTAAAACACACATTTTCAATAGTTTTTGATTTTTCAAGCTATTGTGATGAATATTAATGAACATAAATATTATAGTTTACGAACAGTTAAAATTTCACTTAGTCATTTTTTGCAAGACGGCACAATTCAGTTTTAAAAAAAAACCAGTATAAACATACTTACATTGTCAGAATCGTCCAATGGTTTCATACATGTAATATTACCTTTGACTTCAGAAGTGTTACTTGATATTCTATTCAAATAAAAATTAAATTCAAAAAGATGTTGTTTTTGTTTACATTGTATAACAGCTCTGGGATACACCTTGTATTCTCCCTGTTATTATTTAAGGTAAAAATCCATAGTTATATNATCTTTAAACAAAGTTACACATATATATATATTTTATTTTATAAGTATAATATAATATTATTTAAGCCGATAAATAACTATTAGTAATATTACGATGAATCGTCTGATTAATACAAATTATAATCACGATTTTCAAAGTTACAGACGGATGTCCGGTTTAATACTAACTGATATGATAGTCGCCTAGTGAAATCAAATTAAAAATTAATAACATTTTGCGATTATAATTGTAATACCTAGGTACGTACCTAGGTACGTATGTATGTAGTACAAATATTTTTAGTAATTTACCAGATTGAAAATTATTAAAAAAGTTTTCTGACCCCTAGATTAAAATTAACTGAAATAATTTTTAATACTTTATGTTAAATCAATGTTTAAACTTACATCAGGTTATTCGTTCAACTGTTTCTTATAATTATTAATAAATTATCACGTTTATTTTATTATGCGTACGATTTCAATAATTTGCTGTTTTGTCTAATAAAATTCAAAATAAGATAAAATTATTCTTATTAATATTATTCATATTTTCGTATATTTGATTTTGACCAAGTGGTTTGAGTAAGTTAGATATTCGGGTTTTTTCATTTGATAAAGAAGTTAGTCAGTTATTTATTTTTTACATTTTTTCTTTACCTTCATAAATTCAACAAAACAATTAAATAATTTTTTGTTAAATTCTACATCTTTCTGTGAATATATCAAAACATACATTTTCAATAGATTGTGATTTTTCAAGCTATTGTGATGAATATTCACATAAATATTATTGTTTACGAACAGTTAAAATATCACTTAGGCAGTTTTTGCAAGACGGCACAATTCAATTTTAATAAAAACCATGTATAAACATACTTACATTGTCAGAATCGTCCATTGGTTTCATACACGTAATATTACCTTTGACTTCAGAAGTGTTACTTGATATTCTATTCAAATACAAATTATATTCAAATAGATGTTGTTTTTGTTTACATTGTATAATAGCTTTGGGATACACCTTGTATTCTCCCTGTTATTATTTAAAGTAAAAATCCATAGTTATATTATAAATGATATAATATGCGCACGTGAAAAATATTATTTCGGTGAATTATTAAAGTTACTTACAACTGGAAGATTAGGAAAAAAGTTTAACTTTTCATTTTTCGATAACGCGCATGTTACGAGTACTAACAAAAACATTGATAAATGATTCATTATGTTATGCTGGTTTGTATTTTTGTAATATTATTATCAAACTATTCGAATAATGTGTTGGATACACACGTCTAAAGCTCAACACGTACANAATCCATAGTTATATTATGAATGATATAATATGCGCACGTGAAAAATATTATTTCGATGAATTATTAAAGTTACTTACAACTGGAAGATTAGGAAAAAAGTTTAACTTTTCATTTTTCGATAACGCGCTTGTTACGAGTACTAAGAAAAACATTGAAAAATGATTCATTATGTTATGCTGGTTTGAATTTTTGTAATATTATTATCAAACTATTCGAATAATATGTTGGATACACACGCCTATAGCTCAACACGTACACACTAGAATAACAATATAGTTATTATATTAGTAGTTGGCCATAAATTTATGTAATTGTGTTCATATCAAAAAGTTTTTCAATAACATCTGTGTGTATAATAGTTTTTGACTTTTTATATTGAAAACACTTGTTATTATTATACATATATTAATTATTTTAAATCGTCCAGATCTGTCCATCATCTATTTTTTCACCTCCGAATGACATTGAAATAATTGAGTATAGTTGTACCTATGACACAATATTTGTATTGTCGGTTATACAATTAGACTTTTGTCATACTCCTCTGTGATAACTGATAAATATAATAACATAATATGTTTGTGTATAAATTACACTCGTGTTATATTTCCCTAGATATTTTGCCGAGACCAAACAAGTTTATCTACGTAAAATCAACTAAAAACCTCTAAAATTACAAATAACTAGAGCTAAATGAATAGTGTAAAAATGTCAGATTTTGATTTTTTTCTTTTTTTTTAACAAGTGAAAGACTTTTTACAGGACGCATTGGACTTTAATTTTCATAAATTATATTTATAAATCCTACAATAAAAGTTTGAATTTTGCAAATTTTTACAAGTAATTACATTTTTAAAAATTTTGTTTTAGCAATACAATCAAAAATTGAAGCCCAATGCGCCTTGTAAAAAATCGTTCTCTTTCTTACAAAAAAAATGTATTTAAATCAGATAAATCTGCGTGGTGTGAGAGTTTATCCTGTAAACTGTATTTTGAGCGAAAAATCAAGCTTGTAATTTTTTCATCTGATTATCACAAATATATTGCTCTGCGAATAAAGTAGAAAGAAGAACTTTTTCAATTAGTTAAAATTAATATATTTTATACATTATTGTTAAAAATTTATCTTATGCTATTTATATTTTAATGTTATAACTTATATTGTGTCGAAATTGCAAAAAATCAACAAATTTTCATAAATTATTTGATTTATAATATCTTGTCTTCTAGTACGCGGTTGGTCTGGTTGGAGAATGGTCCGAAAATATAATGCAGTTGACATTACCAATATTTATTTACTTTTACCTATACCACTATATTGCTTTGAAAAATTCCTTAAAAAATTGGGGCCCATAATTATGCTTGGCATTAGGGCCAACCATACGTAAGTTGTTGCACTGCCTATATATAAAAGAAAACTAATTTTTACGCACGCTGATGATTAAATTGTAACCTAATCTTTTTTTTACGGTGCAGGCTGACCATTATAGGAGTTTTTTTTCAACTCTAGTGCAATTCGACTAAAATAAATTCGACCTTACCCTTATCCATTATTAGCCCCGCCGCCCTGGTTCAAATGGTTTTTTGTTTTTTTGTGTTTATCGTATATTTTTATTATTATTGTAGCGAACTATACCGGAATTCATGTTTCAATTCGTCCGCTTATAGTTCCGTTTGCGATACGCTCGATGATGTGTATTCTGACACGTCCTACGAATGGTATGTTCTCGAATTCAACAATAAGGTATAATACAACGGACTGCTATTTATTATTTTATTTCTATTTGTCCGAATACTCAATCGTGTACGATATAATATTATCTAATATCTTAAGTGCCTATATTATTAATACATTCCTTTTCATCTCTCCATCAGGTTGAAACTATACATCATATTATGTTCTACTGTTGTAACGGGGCGTAAACGTTTTCTACATACACCGCAGCCACGCTGTCGTCGTGAAAATAATAATTTTCATTTTTGTATTGTTCCTCCGTCGTGTTTCGGTGGAAACGATTGTGTGCGTCCGGAAATTTTGGTTCACAAGCAGTTTAAATAATATTTATTTTTTTTTTACGGTTCGCATATTATTAGGTGTATCTGCATACTTGCCGAACTCGTTTGCGGAATTGCCGCATGACTTACAGCAATCATCGGTTAAAGTTATTTGTATAAATTCGTAATAGTTAATGTTATCACACGCGGGGTGAATTTGTTATAATCGGCGATCTCGTATATGAAGTATTCAAAATCGGGCGATTAATACAACTTTAAAAGACGATGCCTTTTTTTAAACTACAAAAAAAAAATCAAAAAGAGAATTTCTTTCTCGCCTACTAGATCCAAAATACAGCAAAAAAATGTCTTATGTCGTGAACATGAATAAGCTACTTCTAGATAGTAGATAGTAGTAGTGAGTCAAAGAAACAAATAGTTACTTATCAGTTATTACAATAATGATAATACATACAAAATGCATAATATAATTTAGAGGTCATTCTAGATGAAATAAAAAAATACTCTAATTTTCCACATTTTAAATAAAAACTAATAAAATTGGTTCAATTATAGCTTGTAAAAATGTCTTATTTAAAAAAATCTATTTATTGGTTATTTTAACATTGTTATTCTTATTGTATATCATCTATACTTTAAAACAGTATATTTTAAGTTCAGTTTATTGTTATCATATTCCTTAGTTAATCGTCATTTTTTTTTGTTGTTGTTTTTCATAGTTATTTAAGATCTTGTTAAATATTCTTGTTCTACGACAAGAGGTTTTACCTTAGTGTCGAACAAAGATAGTTATTTCATTATTAATTAATTATACTTAGTAACATTTCTACTACTAGCAAATAAAGATGATGATTATTATTATTGTTCCGGGGTGAAATATTTACTGATTCAATAATATTATGGAAACATTTTTAAAATTTATTTTTACAGTGTTTTGGAATGAATATATTCTTTCTTATCCATTGTCGAAAAACGCTCCGGACCCCTTGCTGGGGTCTCTATCAAGGTATTGATATATATATATATATATATTATTACCTAATTATATTAAACACATATTATGCATTTTAAATCAAAATTAATTAAAAATTTTTATATATTAAAAAATAATTCATAAGTATACATATAACTAGCAATCGAGACCCAAAGCTTTTTATTTTGGCTTGACATAAAATCCAGAAAAGTGCTATTGAAATTAATGTAACGTTATGCAATTTTAAAATGCTTATTTTCTTCTTTATTTTCAGAGGAGACTATTTTTAACTTATTATAATGTTTCTAAGTGTTTCCTAAAAAAATAGTATTAAAGAAAATATATGAAGCCTATTTAATTATTTTACTATAATATGACATATTGATTGTCGACAAAACATCACTATCAACTGAACCCCGCTCAGAATCGTTTTTTTGTAAGCAATATTTTATCATTGCTTACAGGTATAAATAAATTTCCCCTCTATATCCTACCTTCCCAACTTCTCACCAACAACAATGGCTGCCATCATTCTATTATCGTAGGACGTCTTTTTTAATTTTATTTGTGCCCATATATTTTGTATTTATGTATTTATTTAATATATTTTCTGCAGTAAATTAACGTTTGATAAACCGTGTTGATTATGTAATACTTAATGTAGGTACCTAGATTGCGGATTCATTTATGCAGGTTCTGCGGAGGGCTTTGTACCACAAAAACATACCTAAATTAAACGCATAAACAATATTATCAGACCAAGTGAATTATTTAATTAAAATGATTAATAAAAAGCACCTGGAAAAAAAGTACAAAAACAAGACATCGGTAAAGAGATTTTTAATAACGTTAAGTATACGTGTCCCAGAGTAATTTTAATTAGTAAAAGTAAAATTATTTTTTTCATTTTTATTTTTTTTTTTTTTTACGCTTGATATGAGAATCATACGTCTAGTGTAAAAACAATTAAATACTACGAGATTGAACAGAGTATATTTAAACAATGTGTCGGACATTTTTCGACAAAAACCTGGTACTAATATTTCGCAGTAGTATTTTGAGTAATAATGAAAACGATAAGGAATTCAAATTTGTTTGAACGCTGAATCGATGATATTTAAGAGAGTAAGTGAACACGGTGTTTAACGAACTGTGAAAATAGCTTTAAACGGCTCATCCGCCTGATTTCAGTCGATGTAGTGTGTAGCCCAAAGTACGAAATCACTGAAATATCTCAAAAAAAAAAAAATAAAAAATACTGATCTAGTCATCAAGCCGAAAGACACAAAATCATAGCTCTCAAATAATATTCTTCTAAACAATTGCGTTTCTTGAAAGGAAATTGTTAACTTTTAAATTATTAAATTATATACGATAGCATAAAAAAAAAAAATTATTTTACATTAAAGGTCGACAATACTTATCGTTTTTGCAACTGTCAGATAAAAACGCTTAAATACTTCCCAAATGCTCTTCAAAAGAATGTTAGGGATTATATACATCTGAAAACCGTTATTCAATAAAATATGAACGACACTGATTTATTTTATTTACAACACAATATATTTACCGAACGATACATTTTAATATAACCTTCAAAATAATAAAGTCAAATAAACATACAGTAAGTCAATGGCGTATATCAAAGGAAAATTTTTGGTTCGGAACCTTCGACAATTGCATTAAATCCTTCTGTAAATTTGTGTATGGATATGAGATGCTTTACGTGTGTGTATATATGACTATTATTAGTGTTATTAACAACAATCTGTCGAGTATAAATTTAACGATAACTATAATTATTGGAGGACAATTAAAATGAAAACGATGAAAACCTCATCCCTTGTATACAGTTCCTAAGTACGCCACTGCAGCAAGTACAGAACAAGTGTTTTTATTATATGGAAAAACACGATGAACCGTCATACTCGAACTAGTTTATGAAATCAAATCGATAATATTATGAATGAAAACGTATACAAATCAACCACGACACGTAGGTATACGAGACGAAAACATAGATTCGATCATAACCAAAAGCTATACGGTTAAATAGGCGAAGTAAATTAAATATAAAACTCAGAATTCGCTACATCACAAACAACTACGTCTAGACAGTGCTTGGAAAAATCGCAAGTGCGCTTTCAGTATAACAATTATTGTGTAACTTTATGTATTATTTTATTCTAATTATGTTCGCGGTATATTTATCGTAGGTCTATAAAATCAGTAGATAATACTTTGTGATAGTGACTAATGATTATCAATGTTGTATTTTAACTAAAAGAAATTAAAATTGATAAGTTATCTAGATAGTTATACTTTTATTTTTTATCGTATCTAGAATCTAGACTTTTAAATATATTTGTATAGATCATAGTTTTATTAATGCCCCATTACTTTCCCCCTACCTAAAATTAAAACTGAAATATCTCGTAATGGGTCGACGGAATTCAAACATTTTGACACTAATATTTATATAAATTTATACTCCGTATATTAATGGAATTTTTAATATAGGTTATCATTTGATAAACTGAAGTTGGTATCGCAAAAATGGGGTAAGCGTGCTTATATTTATACGCCTAATATAATCTGTTCGAAATTAAATACATTTTTGTACAATACATAAAATAGAATCAACATTCCTAAAATATGCAACCAACGCACTCGAATCGAATCCACCGAGCAGGGCTTTATTAATCAATTTTTATTTTTAACTAGTATTTTTAAGTGAAGTTATCTTAAAAAAAAAAATAAAAAAAAATAAAAAAATAACTAAGCAAAAATTGTGTAGTCGTTAATTTTATATTTCATTGTATTTTTTTCACTTTACTATAGATAGATCCCGATTATCGATCGTTTGACAATTATCGTCAAAAAAAATTAGGTAACGCATTTGCACGATAGGTATCTGTAATGAAAACCTCAATTTTTCCCTGTAAAACGCATTTATCATTTAAAACTCATCGATACACTCGTAAATATCATATAATCTATTAAATTTGATGTCTGCGTTCGTTTTACACAAGTAGGTTGTATATATATTTACTTAAGCACTCCAATTCTTTGATATTACATGTACAGTGTATAATATCATTGATTTTATTTATTTATTTAACAATATTTAAAATTATTATAAATACTTTAAAACCTTTCAATAAATAAATTTAAAAAAAAAAAAAAAACAAAACCAAATACAAATACAAGAATTAAAAGTGTACAATGATTTTTTTTATGATTTTTACAGAAAAATAATAATACCAGTTCATATAAAAAAAACAATAAAAATGTAATAATAATATGATTAATACTATAAAAATATTATTATATGTATAAATAATAATGAACATGATAAGTAATACAACTTTTTAGTCACAATTGTAAATTCCCGAAGATTTCTTAATGATCCGGACTTTAAAAATCCTAAAACACAAATTGTATATAAGTGATGTGGTTTTCAAATATTTCAAATTAATTTTCACCTCGAGTTTCAAGAGGTTGAGTTTCAATATTTTGAATAACTGTTCGATTTAAAATTGTATTTTACGGTTCAAACCCGGTTTATCGTACAATTTTGCCAGGCTCGTCAGTGCTTTTATCGTCCATGGATGTTGTGTGTTATACACCTTTTTAATATAAAAATTATACTATAATGGGGAAGAAATTAAATAAATTATCGGGAGGGAAGGAAGGGATGATGAAATATTCAACAAATTTTGCTATCCGCGCACGATTACAGAACTTTAACTACAAACGGTATTGCAAATTCCCCACGATGTCCGCTGTTATAGGTTCGGATAAAAAAAATCGCCAAACTCGTCGATCATAATGCTGCTTCTATTTTTTTTCAATCGTAATCATACCGAACTAATGACCTAAATTGTTTAATCGCGTCCTGTACAATTGTTTCACGCAAGACGCATTCGATTTGTTTGTTTCTTAATTAAATCTAAGGAGATAAAACTCAAGATAATATAATTTATATTAATCGGTTTGCGTGGCCTGCGTTAATAAAAGACATATTCCTGTGTTTACTCTGATGTTTTTCACTGTTTCCCTTCATGTCGATGTGTTGAGGGGGATATTATTAATTCCGTCCAGCAAGTTCAGATACAACGCGTGAAAGTTCGTATCGACGGCGATCCGTTTCCTTAGTAAGTGGCTCGATAATCAAGGTAGACATTCGTCGGTCAATATCTCCCGGATTTCGTTGCACTATTTAAAATATAAATTAATTATTGACACGATAATTGTAACAGAAACCTTTATGTATGAAGTATTTTAGTGACATTTGTTTTTGTACACGATAAAATTCGCGCGAGTAAATAATTAACCTTGGTTAGAACGTTGAACTAATTCAGATCTTTTAAGATTTTAATTATTTCTTTTGGTACGCTTTCTTTATCTTCTTTCGTTTCGTTTTTCCCGACACGATCGTTATTGTTATCGATATTGTGAATTCGTTTCAATCGTTGTTCTTTTCCGGTATTTTTCTTTATTTTCATATTTTTTGAAAATTCTTCTACCATGTTAAAAATTCTCTCGTGGACTTTTCAATCAAATATTAACACAAAATACACAATACAAATATAAAAAAAAATTAATAATGTCGTTCGAAAAATACCATTGTGTTCGTCATTTGTAATTTTATTCTTAGATATTTATCAATAAGAAGAATAATGTTCAGGTGTTAAAAGGCATGTTAAAGTAAAGAAATGCCTAAAAAAAAAAATAGGAGATGTTCTTAACTGGAGATATGTTGTCGGAGATATGGCCGGTCACTGACTAGACACAAGACATTATGCATAATATTGTAGTGTTTAGTACATATGTTACTGTGAATGTTCACAGTTGGTAAATGCTGACAGTCACCGGTTAATGTCGATACACACAAGTCATTGGTAAATGTTGGCATATCGATTAAATTTGTACTATTTGTAAACATTCACTAGTGAATGTCGACATTTATAAAACGATTTTGGTGAATGTTAGTAATGCGGATATTGATTTACAACATTTTTGTTATTAAAGTTATTGTTTACAATAATGAAATAGTTATTATCAATTTAAACATTTTACTACTTAGTACCTATACATTATTCAAAAGATGATTTACAAACTTATTAATAATTTTATAAATATTTTATTTAAAAAAAATGATCAGATGTATATACTACATAGTATAGTATAGTATATGCTATATGTACCTGTCATCAGCGGCATAGCCAGGCGGAGGTTAGGGGTCATATCCTCCCATTGCCTTAAAAATACAAAAAAATATGCGTAATATAATATAAAAACTCTTAAATTTCGACCCATTTTTGAGAAAAAGGTTGACGTACTGATTAGAAATTGGCTATTTGTTTAGGATTGTGCTTTTAAATGACCAATTCTCATAGACGAGTTGGGTAGAGAAGACGATTTTACTCATTTTTCACGATTTTTATTTGTTACGTCCCTTTCTCTTGCAAATCTCCAGGCATGCCACTGTCGCCATCGATATGTATTTTCTATTCTACAATATAATATAGTATAGTGAGGGTATACATATCTATGGTAGTAGCTGACTAGAAACAAGATTACGACACCCGTAGCACGACTGAAAAAACTATTTTGCAGGACAACACAGTACAATTAAAATAATTGAACATCTTAGTCATGTTCTGTCGTTTCGTACTGTTACTCGAATGATAGCTATAGTATTAATATCAGGTATATTTTAACAAAATGAAATTAAAAAATGGCACAAAAAATTTAAAAAATCGTGCTGTAAAGTATAATTTAAAAATCACTGAGAATGCGCATGGAAAATGTTCGAGAGTATATTCAATGTTGTGTACCGTGATTATACTTAAAGTTAATGAGCGTAATTTAATGTCGGGATGTACGTATTAAAACTATTCATGATCAAAAATTTCCTTTTACAATGCTCACAAGTTTTGTGATGGATCATTGTTTATACTTTCACTATTGGATACTGACGGTTCCCGTCAAAAAACTTCGTTATTAACTATGTCACATATTATATTAATACTGGCTGGACAGTCCCGCCCGGAGTCGCCCGTACAACTTTTTTATTTTTCATTATTTTTTTTTTTTTGTTTACCTTTATTCCTTTTAGATTTGGAGCATATTGCCTTACCGCCACAATAGCTTCAATTGAGATACACGCGCGTTTAGTATGGTGCATTAACGTGTATCGAACTTAGGTAGCAATACTTTTTTAAGAGATATTATTGGTGACAAAACTATTAAATATACATTATGTCAACTCGATCGTTAACTTAACAATACTCAATATACTAAATTATGTGTGACACAAGTATAGTTGGAAAATACAATTTTGGTAAATGAATACAGTTATCTAACGTTTCTATAATCATACAATTATTAACTAAAAATCGGTAGTAATTTTATTTGAATTTATTTTTTAAACATGTTATATATGTATAATATAAAAGGTGAAAAGTTCGATAAATCAATATATTTTCCAGTGTCGTAAAAATGTGTTGTAAATTTGTATTATGTAAACAAGCAACAATATTAAAACCTATAAAAACAACACATAGACTTATTCGGTTTCCCAGGGACGTTTAACGTCTACGACAAAAATTACACAACCAATTTGATTGTTTTTTTTATCGAACAATTCAAATCGAGCTTTGTAAATTCCGTAAAAATATTGTTTTGGTATATTGGCATTTGCGATGAAACTTGTAAAATCAAAACCATTTGATACATATAGACCCTAAACGTAAATATATTTGTTGAATATTATATATTAAAGTATAACATTACGCGAATTATATTTACTGCAGGATATGGACAATTCCGATTAAAATTATTTTTTTTTGTTGTTAGGTTTAATGTGGTTCTCAAGTTACCAAATACTTTCTCAAACGTTGAACATGCTTTGGAAATTTTGTAAATGAAAGCATTGTCTTTCCAACCACCGATGGAATCTTTGACAGCACTGATTATTACTATCTTTAAACAAAGTTACACATATATATATATTTTATTTTATAAGTATAATATAATATTATTTAAGCCGATAAATAACTATTAGTAATATTACGATGAATCGTCTGATTAATACAAATTATAATCACGATTTTCAAAGTTACAGACGGATGTCCGGTTTAATACTAACTGATATGATAGTCGCCTAGTGAAATCAAATTAAAAATTAATAACATTTTGCGATTATAATTGTAATACCTAGTTACGTATATATGGAGTACTAATATTTTTAGTAATTTACCAAATTGAAAATTATTAAAAAAGTTTTCTGACCCCTAGATTAAAATTAACTGAATTAATATTTAATACATCTTGTTAAATCAATGTTTAAACTTAACATCAGGTTAATCGTCCAACGGTTTCTTATAGTAATTATAATATATTATCACNTCTTAAATTCAACGAAAAAATTATTTTTTTTTTTTAAATTATACACTTTTCCGTGGATATTTTAAAACATACATTTTCAATAGTTTGTGATTTTTCAAGCTATTGTGATGAATATTCACATAAATATTATTGTTTACGAACAGTTAAAATATCACTTAGGCAGTTTTTGCAAGACGGCACAATTCAATTTTAATAAAAACCATGTATAAACATACTTACATTGTCAGAATCGTCCAATGGTTTCATACATGTAATATTACCTTTGACTTCAGAAGTGTTACTTGATATTCTATTCAAATACAAATTATATTCAAATAGATGTTGTTTTTGTTTACATTGTATAATAGCTTTGGGATACACCTTGTATTCTCCCTGTTATTATTTAAAGTAAAAATCCATAGTTATATTATAAATGATATAATATGCGCACGTGAAAAATATTATTTCGGTGAATTATTAAAGTTACTTACAACTGGAAGATTAGGAAAAAAGTTTAACTTTTCATTTTTCGATAACGCGCATGTTACGAGTACTAACAAAAACATTGATAAATGATTCATTATGTTATGCTGGTTTGTATTTTTGTAATATTATTATCAAACTATTCGAATAATGTGTTGGATACACACGTCTATAGCTCAACACGAACACACTAGAATAACAATATAGTTATTATATTAGTAGTTGGCCATAAATTTATGTAATTGTGTTCATATCAAAAAGTTTTTCGATAACATCTGTGTGTATAATAGTTTTTGACTTTTTATACTGAAAACACTATTTATTATTTTATATATATATATATATATATATATATATATATATATATATATATACATATATTAATTATTTTAAATCGTCCAGATCTGTCCATCATCTAAATTTTCACCTTCGAATGACATTGATATAATTGAGTACAGTTGTACCTATGACACAATATTTGTATTGTCAGTTATACAATTAGACTTTTGTCATACTCCTCTGTGATAAATGATAAAATAATAACATAATATGTTTGTGTATAAATTACACTCGTGTTATATTTACCTAGTTATTTTGCTGATACCAAACAAGATTATCTACGTAAAATCAACTAAAATCCTTGGAAATTACAAATAACTATAGCTAAATAAATAGTGTAAAAATGTTTGAAAAATCGTATTACGTACAGTGGGGAAAATGCACGTATTAATCGAAAAATTATTAAATAATTGTAAAAACCCGAGAACATAAATTTAGGGCTTTATAGTGTCATTTTTTAACATTTTTTTATTTTTACTTTTTTCGGCAACTCAAGTAAAACATTTTCTGAAAAAAAAAAATATGGACTTTTCAGTTTTAGTAAAAGTTGTTTTTTGATTTTCCATGTTGTTTTTGTAATAATAGGGGCAAAAAACATATTCATGACGGTACAGTTTGCGGTATTGACGATTTAATTATTTTCGATTTCGTTTTCTTTTATTACTATACCCGCGAACAGTATGAGCAGTATTGAACCCGATGAATGCATATTATTAAAAATATGTTAATAATACTCTACTGCGTAACATGTGAAAC